ATCGTTGTTATTTTTGTTTTGAATTTTTTTGTTTTGTTGTCGTTGTTTGGGGGTGGGGGGGGGGGGGGGGGGTTCTGATTAATTTTTATTTCCCAGAGGTTTTTTTTCATTGCGGTTGCTTGTTTTGAGTAAAGAGAAGCACACCGAAACAATAATAGCCCTTTCGTGGAGGGAAGAAGCAGAGAGCTTCAACAGAGGAAAAGGGAAAAAAGTACGATCTACCAGTAGCACCCTTCAACCACCCTCATAAACACTGTGACACTCTCAGTGTCTTTGTCACGTTTGGATGTCGCTGTCTTTGTGCCGTTACGGTGTCGGTGCCGTTTCGGTGTCGGTGCCGTTTCAGAATCCCAAGGGTAATGGTGCGTGAGAGGATGCTCCATATTATAAATAAACACTTTCGCCCTCCCAATGTCTTTGTCAGATTTGTATCTCGTCGTCTTTGTGCTGTCACGGTGTCGGTATCGGTATGGCAGTGTCGTTACATGTTTCAGAGCCCCTAGGGTCACGCTGCGTCAAACGACATCGATATAATAATATATCACGGCTGTAATTCTCCGCCCCATCTCCCCGGCACGAGTCCTGCTTATGTCACCCGAGAAGTCTGTCTGTCGCATCCGACATCGTTCTCCCTTCGATCATCTCGCCATTGATGGCGCGTCCTGTGCTTGATTTTCTACGTGCTTTCTCGCTCATGCCAGCTGCCAATATGGCAGCTTAACTCTTTGAAGACGCGCATGCTGCTATAACAATTAAAGACACTATGTTTTAGGGGCATTATAAATAAAAAGAAGCTCTATTACTTTGCTATTCCCACTGATTTTCCAACGCTGTTTTCTTTACTTATACGCTCCAAGGCGGGTAATATTGTGTGTACGAATGAAATGGGCAAAGTCCTGTTTTTGATTTGATTCGTGTATGATTAGATATATTAAAATGTTTCACAGCATTGTCTTCCGCCAGCTGCCGATCGGGTACAATTTGTTACGTGGGCGCTATGTTCTCAAAGAGTTAAAGAAATCAAATACAATCTGAGCGTGTAAATAGTCGGTCGTGTCGCCGGTTCAATAACCCGAGGGGAGAACTCGATGGCGCCATGTCTTCTCTCTGTACTACAGTTTCTGGCTTGTCACGAAGTCTTTGTTTTTGTAACTGTGACAGATCTTTGCAACCATTGAGGAGCGGCTATGTCATAACAGAGGTAAGAAGGTTCAGTTAGGAGGAGGAAAATGAGAAGAAGAAGAAGAAGAAGAAGAAGAAGAAGAAGAAGAAGAAGAAGAAGAAG